TAATTAAATTTTATGGTATGTGAATTATTATAAATGACCAATTAAAAAAAATAATAGAATTCTGGCCCTGGCTGGTGTGACTCAGTTGGTTGGGTGTCATTCTGTGCATGGAGAGGTTGCAGGCTAGATTGCCAGTAGGTGGTGTGCAGGAGGCAGATAGGTGTTGAGCTCTCACAAGGATCTTCCTTCTCCCTACCTCTCCCTCTATAAAATCAATGGATTATTCTTTGAAACAAGTAAGTAAGTAAGTAAATAAATAAATAAACAATGGAATTATGTAATCATTAAAACTGAAAAGTCTCTGCAGCACTACAGATGAAGCTGATACAAGCACTGGATCTGAGTGGGGTACAGAGGAAGGGGTCAGGTTTATCTCTCAGATCTAACAGGTGGCCACAGATGAGTGAGACTGATTTTAGCTACCTTTCTTTCCTTTTTTTTCTTCCTTTCTTTAGTTTTTAATTTATTGCTTTTAGAGAAAGAGGAGGAGGGAGAGAAAGAAAAAAACAGAGAGGGAGAAACTTTGATTTGTTGTTCCACTTATTTATGCATTCATTGGTTAATTCTTGTATGTGCCCTGACTGCCTGGGATTGAATCTGCAACTTTGGCCTATGGGGACAGTGTTCTAACAAACTGAGCTACTCAAGCCAGGGCTTCTTTATTTTTGAGGGAGTTTGGAGAAAGAGAGGTAAAGACAGAGAGACAATCAAATAGTAAAGATAGCATAAACAGAAAAAAAGGTAGAGGTGATAATGATTAACAAATAGATGAGGTATGCTCCAGGGTCTTTGTTGGATAAAAATTATTAGGTTTTCTGACGATGTTGAGTAAATGAATGGTTTATGTCAGAATGCAGCTCTGCCACTCAGTGGTATACCTCTGAATCTAACTTGACCTTCTGGGCACTTATTTTTCTTATCTGTAAAATGGGTAGAGAGTGTTTCTCTCTAAATTTGGTTGATTTGAAAGAGACAATGACCACAGAATTCTTGAAATTGAGGAAACATTGTGAATACTGAGTATCATTAATGATTATATTTCTATTGCCTTCAACTCTAGCCAACCCTACATTTTGGCTTCTGTAAGTCCCCTAAGTAGAGGGCCCTGGATTGGGGACTTGGCTTGGGAGTAAAGAAACCCTGGAGCTGAAGGTCAAGAAGAATGAATTTTGCCCTAACCGGTTTGCCTCAATGGATAGAGCACTGGCCTGCAGACTCAAGGGTCCCAGGTTCGATTCTGGTCAAGGGCATGTGCCTTGGTTGCGGGCACATCCCCAGTGGGAGGTGTGCAGGAGGCAGCTGACCGATGTTTCTCTCTCATCGATGTTTCTATCCTTCTCCCTTCCTCTCTGTAAAAAATTAATAAAATATTTTTAAAAAAAGAAGAATGAATTTTATTCCTGGTTTACTATTTACTAGCACTGGAATCCTTGGCATTCACATTCCTCATCTGGGAGAGGTTTCTTAGGACCCATCCTTGATAGGATCTCAGGAGCCGGAAAACATGGTATAGGGGCAGGTGGGCCCTGCTCAGGTGGAAGGAGAGGAGAAGAGGTGCTGCCTTGCCTCTTCAAACAGGTCTCAATCGCACATGGGAATTGATAGCAAGAGGCATCCCCTCGGCTCTCACTATGAGGAGCCAATTCCCAACAGGGGGTAATATTATGGCTTACCATAGCCCCTCCATTGATCAGAGGAGGGCAGTCTTGTGGGACAGAGCCCTTAAGCAGTGGGATCTGATGTTATCTCTGGGTAGGTAGTATCCGAATTTATTTGAATTGGAGGACACTCAATTAGTGTCAGAGAATGGGAAAACTATCTCTCCCTCTCCCCACTCACCACCATCCCTCCAAAACACATACAGGGAAATTGGTATCAGATCTTTAGGGTGCTTAGCCAAGTGTATGGCCCAGGGAAGTTTCTCTACAAACAGTTGGAAAAAGAGAGGAAAAAGTATTGCATTTAAATAAAAAAACATAGTGTCCAATTAATAAAAAATGAAGAAGGCAGCATACTGCAGTGTTTTCAACACCTTCTTAACCTGGGCAAACACTTTCTGTTATTTGACTTGTAATTATACTGTGTGTGTGTGGTCAGCCACAGTGTACCAGTGCTTCTTATCATGCTTGGGATCAATTTTATGGATGATCCAGGTTAGAATTTCACATGTTCTCATACATTCAGATGCTGAAATTAATTTATATGTGGCTTAACTCTTTACAGGATTCAGTATTTCTTATGGATATTGATCATAGTTACAGAGTAAAAACGCTAAGTTAGAAGACCCAGGTTTAAACATTCTGCCACTGACAAGCCTTATAAATTTGAGATGTCTCTTTTTCTTTCTAGGCTCTAACGATCCCTTATCTAAAATGAGGGGCTACATAAAATATTATTGCAGGTCCCTTAGTTCTGATCATTCCTACTCCTCTCTATGAGCGATGAAATGCTAAGTCAGAGAGTTGTGGAGCACTGCGGATATTCCATATTCCCAGTGGCCCATGAGCTCCTCAGCTGCTATAAGCTCAAGAGATTTCCTGGAGGCCGACTTATATTGCTCAGGCCAGGCAGGTGGCAGAGGTAACTGGAAGCTATGGGCAGGGCATGCAGGACCCCCACTACTGGTCTCCCTTCCTCTGAGCCTTCCATGCATGGAGCTATGCCAGGTAGGTAAATTGGGGCACAAGACCCTCTAGACTCAGGCCTAAGGCACTCTGCCTCCAGTTTAGAAATACTGAGTGTTAGAATATGACAGTATAAAGGAGGAAAGGCTGTCCCTAATCTGAGTCAGGTCTTAGTTTTTGTTTCTTTTCCTGCATGTTTTCACTTTCATCACCTTCCCAGTTCTATATTTTCTATCTGTTGCTCTGAAATCCTGCCATGCTTTCTGCTTCAAGCCATTTTCTTAGCAGAGACACTCTATTAGGCTGTACTTTGGATATAGATGCCCTGGAGTGAATAAGTACCTCCACACATTTTTCAGAATAACCTGGTGTGGGAGGTATATAAAAAGACACTGGCTGCTTTGGAAGACGCTTGGAAGGACTTTACTTAGTCCTAAAAGACTCCAAATTGAAGGTGTCTGCATATTGTACACAGAGGCAACCAAAAATGTTTAGTAATTGTTATCAGGTAGGAAAAGCAAAGGGGTCTTAAGAATATGGAATGGAGAAAATATTGCATCTGACAAGAAAGGACAGAGAAGTCCTGATGCATATGAAGGAGCAAAGGCAGGTGAAAAGCTGGAGGTGAGGATGCAGGTCAAGCTTTAGAACTCAGAGATGCAACTCTTGGTTCCTAAGAGTTTTCACAGCCATCCACCCCTTGGACCTATACAACCTCTTTAGCTAAATTTCTTAGCATCTGCAATTTACAACAAAGACAGCCAGAACCAAGAAGGGATCAGAGAATTTAGTACATCTCCTTGTCAAGACCTTGCACTCAACATGGCCTGGACTGAAACACCAAACAAGAGTTAGGGCTGAGTTCTTGCAGCTGGTGAGTCAGTAGAAAAGATAGGACTTACACAGCTATAATGCAAGACAAGGAGAGAAACAAGTACAGAAGGAGATGTAAATTAGAATTGTGAAAATGATAGGAGAAGTTTCCTCCACTGACAGTGACCAGCCAAGTGTTCATGAAGAAGGGCATCATTGATCCTGGGGCCTGGATGATGGTTTGAATGTGTAAGTATGTTCTGGGCAACCTCTGGGAGTTGAGGAGCTGTGGCTCACATTTGTATAACAGCAAATAGACCTATCTGGGTATCTTGAGGAATAAGGGAGGAAATTCTGAGATTTGAGACCAGAAATATTGACTTAGTACTGATCATAGAGGAACTTTAATTCTAGGCTAATGAGTTTGGATTTGATCCCTTGGCAATGAGGGGACATGTAAGGTTTCTAATCAGAACAATGATATTTTTATACTTGCTTTTTTAAAATATTAGTCTTCCAGATTAGAGAATGAAATAAAGAGAGGCATGAGATTTATTAGGAGCTGTTATTATGGTAAAAGAATGAATTTTCTTGGGTCTGAATTATGAAGTGAAGGTCAAAGGAAATGAAAAAAGGTACTGGCAGAGAGGCAGTTTGGGGTCAGTATTTTCATCAGTTTTTACCCAGTTTAATGTAGAACATAAAGGAAAGAGTCAGTGATGTTTGGGTTTTGAGTTTTAATCTTAGTCACAATGATGTTATTATTTAAAGAGATGGAGAACACGGATGAGAAGTAATTCCATGGTATAGAAAAATTATTATTAATTATTTATTAATAAATATTAATACTTAATGGTTATGAACTATGATTGAATGATTATTCAGTCCTAAAATATTTTTTAAAAGATTTTCAACAAATTAAGTTATTCAGGGAGAAAATTAATATTGTAAGATGAATGATAGAAGAATGAAAAGATGAGTGGATATATGGGAGTCAAGTGCATTTGATGAATGTCTGGAAGGTTATCTCTATGCATGGATATTTTTTTTCTCCACCCACTTTCTGTCTGAACAAATATATGGAAGAACTGAGAGACTGCAAAGGAGTAGAAAATCTGGGGAGTCATAATAAGGTAGTAAATGTTCAGTAACCTAAGAGAGTGGAAATAAGAAAACGTAATGGTTCGATGAATACATGGAATGCTCAGGAAGAAGGCAGAATAGTTTCGCCTCAGATCTTGAACAGAGTTATGCCCATAAAGAGTTTATAGCTTTAAATGTGAAGAAGAGCAAAGTGGCAATAGGCACAGCTGTAAAGAAAAGGCAACATAATCTTTTTAGCCAGCTAGAAAAAAATGAGAAAACTCAGACAATTTCAGAAATGTTGGTGACAATGAGAGACAAGAATGAGTGATTTGGTGAACAAAACTGACTAATGTCATTAAGTGAGCAGCTGGATGGTATATAAGAGTCTTAAAATATTAGGCTTAGGCCATTGATAAAATTGTATATTTTCCTTTCTTTACAGGAGAGTGGTCATAGAATCTAAGAAATAGCTCCAGCATGGGAGGTCACCCCCTCAACAGCTCAGAGTTTCCTCCTTTCACCCTGACTGGTCTTCCAGGGCTGGAGACCTCCCAACACTGGATGTTTCTGCTCCTTGGCACCCTCTATACTGTCTCCATTGTGGGCAATGCCCTTATCCTTTTTATTATCAAGGAGAAGCAGAGCTTGCATCAGCCTATGTACTATTTCCTGTCCCTGCTGTCAGTGAATGACCTGGGTGTGTCTTTTTCCACACTGCCCACAGTACTGGCCACCTTTTGCTTTCACTTAAGGAAGATCAGCTTTGATTCTTGCATGGCTCAAATGTTCTTTATCCATTTCTTCTCCTTCACAGAGTCTGGAATCCTGCTGGTTATGAGCTTTGACCGCTATGTGGCCATCTGTAACCCACTGCGCTATGCCACAGTGCTCACTGATGCCCGTGTAGCACGCATGGGCATGTCTGTTATCATTCGAAGTTTCTGTATGGTTTTCCCATTGCCCTTCCTTCTGAAGAGGTTGCCTTTCTGCAAGGCTAATGTACTCTCTCATGCCTACTGCCTGCATCCAGATCTTATCCGCCTGCCATGTGGCGACATCACCATCAATAATATTTTTGGCCTATTCATTGTCATCTCTACCTTTGGTCTGGACTCTGCACTAATTCTCATCTCCTATGTGCTTATACTACGCTCTGTACTTGCCATTGCCTCTTGGGAGGAGCGGTTAAAGACACTCAACACGTGTGTATCACACATGTGTGCTGTGCTCATCTTCTATGTGCCCATGGTTGGTGTGTCCATGGCAGCTCGCTATGGGAGGCATGCTCCACAGTATGTGCACACACTGATGTCCCTTATTTATCTTTTTGTTCCTCCAATGCTCAACCCTGTCATCTATTCCATCAAAACCAAGGAGATTCGTCAGAGGCTTTTCAAAATACTACTGGGAACCAAGTTTTAAGCAGGAATCATGGTGAAAGGCAAAGACTCAGAAGATATTTACTGTTACTCAACAAATTTGAGTTTTCCAGACTTATTTTGACGAGACTTTTTAAATTTGCTTTTGGGCACTAACCTATTAGAATTTCTGCCACCAGATGCTTAATGATATCCTGGCACTAGTTAAGATGCTAATTAACATGTTTTGGCAAGGTAAACTGGGTTATCATTTAGCAAAAAATGTTGCTCAGTTTTTCTTTTTTAATTAAAAAATGTACATTCTCATAATCAGCCCCCAAATTTGTCACAATATATATTTTATTATAATTGTTTAAAGTGAATCATCACAAAGAAAACTACTTATTACTGTGGAAATAGTGCCACAATGGGTGAAGGATTCTTTCCCCTAGTATGATGGCAAAGATAGTTCTAGTTTTAATTCTTTGAGGAAATTTCATCACATTTTCTATAGCAGATGCACTATTTTACATTCTCATCAGTGCGTAAGGTCCAGACCCCTCCACAACCCTGCCAAGACTTGTTATCTTTTGTTTTTTTGCTAAAAGCCATCTTGACCAGTGTAAAATGATTTTTTTGTGGTTTCAATATTCATTTTCTTTATAATTAGGGACATTGGACATTTTTCATATACCTTTTGGGCATTTGTATGTCTTATTTGAAAAATGACTATTCAACTCCTTAGCCCATTTATTTGTTTACTATTGAATTGTACATTTCTTATATATTTAGATTAACCCTTTGTCAGATATATGGTTGGTAAATGTTTTCTTCCATTTCATAGGTTACCTTTATACTATTTGATTATTCTATTTATTGTATGTAAGCTTTTTAGTTTGATGTAGGCCACTTGTTTATTTTTGTTTTTGTTGCTGTACTTTTGGTGTCATAACCATATGATATATTTATCCAAAATAATTGAAATAGGATCTCAAGGAACTACTAGCACTTCCATGTTCAATGTGGTACTATTTGCAATATTCAAGGTGTGGAAACAACCTAAATATCCATCAACCAATAGACACATAAAGAAAATGTGCTATATGTATACAATGGAATACTAGTCCAGCCTTTAAAAATAAAATTCTGCAATATGTAACAACATGGGTGACTTTGAGGATATAATGCTAAGTGAAATAACCCAGTCACAGAAAGATAAATACTGCATGATTTCACTTATATGAAGTAAAGAAAATGGTCCAATTGATAGAATCAAAGAGTGAAATAATGGTTATCAGGGGCTTGGGAAGTGGGAAATAAGGAGTTAGTTGCTAATCAATGGGCATAAAGATTTAGTTAAGCAAGGTGAATAAGCTGTAGAGATCTACTGTGGAACATTGTACCTATAGTTAACAATAATGTGTTGCACACTTAAAATTTGTTAAGAGAATAGCTCTCATGTTGTGTCCTTATCACAATAAAATAAAGTAACTATGTCAAAATAATATTGGTTAAAATAATACTAGTATATATGCTATAATAGCTATAGCTATGCATGTCAATATTTATTTCAATGACACACACTGTCCACCCAGCTTTTAGGATGAAATAAATGTAATCACATATAAATTGTATTAAATATTATAAATTTCAATAATAATTAAATTTGGTAAATTTGGGTAGTATTTTTATAAAAAACAAAAGAATAAAAGTTAAGAAATGAAGCCTTTAATTAAGAACATTATAAAAGAATAAAATACTTTATAAAGTAATTAAAAATAATTAAAATAAAAGAAGCGAATAAATGTGAATGGGCAAGAGTGAAAGTAATCCAATAACTAATTCTTTAAGAAGCTGACAGAATATACCAACCTCTGGAATAATTAAGAACATTATAAAAGAATAAAATACTTTATAAAGTAATTAAAAATAATTAAAATAAAAGAAGCGAATAAATGTGAATGGGCAAGAGTGAAAGTAATCCAATAACTAATTCTTTAAGAAGCTGACAGAATATACCAACAACTGGAAATTCAAATCAAATGGAAAATAAACTTAATAATATAATATATATATAAGTAAATTAGATTTATTTTTTAAATGACAGTAGAACATTCTGTAAGTAATTCAAAATTTTGAACAAATTGGTATTTTGAGGACAATTATAAAATGTAAATAAATAAATAATTAAGTCATAATTGAGAAAAAAGAATGAAAGTTGACAGCTATACTCCCACCATCTCCAACATACTATAGTACAATAACTTTTTCTTTACTTTCCCCCCAAATTTTAAGAAATAGATTATTCTCCTTATACATTTTAAATCAAAAATAAAATTTGAAAGCTATGTAAAAGCTCAAATATAGTTTTGATAAAGAGATACAGAAAAATATATCAGAAAATTTTTATAGATTAAGCATATAATGAAAACATATGTATAAATACTAAAAGTTGTAAATGCAATTAAGCAATATAGACAAATAATAGTTGACACATCCTAGGATTAAAAAAGGGACACATTTTTCAAAAATCCCTCAATATAGTTCATTATGTTAATGAGTAAGATAATGAAAAAATAAGTAAACAATAGATTTCAGAAAAGGTATCTAATGAAACCAAAAGTCTGTCCTCTCTAAAAAACAACAACAATATCTGTATATTTACTTAATGTGTTAAATTGTCTTCTGGTTAAAATGAGGGGAAACAATTTTGCCATTTTGGGACTTTGCTATTTACTACTTTTTTAGAGAAATCTTTTAGTAATGTAACAAACCTTGAGAGAGAAATGAACTATTTTATTTTATTCCTTTATTTGTAATTGGGTACCAAGTTCTGAAAATTCTAATTATACTTTGGCATATCCAATCTTTGCTGCTACGTCAACATTGTTGTTAGCTTATTCTGGGCCTTCAATATTACCCCTCACTTCACTCTTGCAATATCTCCCACATGTTCACCATTCTTTTCTCTTACTTTTCCAAGCTTCAGCCAGAACGATCTCCCTAAAGAATTTATCTGATTATAAATTCTTAGCCTTAAGTCATTCATAGCCTTAAATGGCTGTTTTGATTAAGGATAAAGTCCAAATTCCTTTAAAATGTACTTTAATAATATGACCACTGTGTCCATTTCTTATGTCTTATTCCTCTTAACTATTTCCCTATGCCCCCAAAATAAAAATTTGCTCCAACTATGTGGAACTACATGTGATTGTTAGGCCAACAAGTTGCTTTATGCCTCTGTATTTTTGTTTTGGTAGCCTTTACTTGAAATATCTTGTCAATTTTTATATGCTTGAAACTACAGATCATTCTAAATATTTATCAAAACAGACACTGACTCAGCATTTCCATCACTTTCTTTACTACCTGCCCTCCATCTACCTGGTCCCTCACCTCCAACAGTGGAAAAACAGATGTTTTGTTATTTTTATTCACTTCTAATGTATTTGTGTAGCATTAGACCACAGCACCTAGATATGATTCTGTCCTTCTCTGTATGTAATTCCCTATTTGAATCATAAGCTTCTTGAAAAAATGGATTGTTTGTTTATATTAAAAAGAGCGTGAATTTTGTCCAAGATCAATGAAAACCTTGGAAAAAGCCCAATCTCTCTGAGCCTTACTTTACTCATTTGTAACTTACTACAAAAATAACCAGCTTGTTGTGTTTTTTATAGTTTAGAAATTATGTAAGTAAGATGGTTAGTACATTGCTTGAGATATAAGTTCTCAATGAGGAAAATACTTATAAAAACCCCCCAAAAATCCAATTAATAAATGGGCAAAGGACCTGAATAGGCAAGTCTCCAAAGAGGACTAACAGATGACCAATAGACATAAGGAAAGGTGCTCAAAGTCACTAATCATCAGAGAAATGCAAATTAAAATTACAATGAGATATCACCTCACACTTGCCAGAATGGCTACCATCAATAAATCAACACACAAGTGCTGGTGATGTGGAGAAAAGGGTATACTCAAGCACTGTTGGTGAAAATGCAGATTGGTACTGCCACTGTGGAAAATAGTATGGAGTTCCCTCACAAAAATAAAAATGGAACTACCTTATGACCCAGGATTTATACTTCAAAGAAAACTGCTACACTATTTTGAAAGAATATTTGCACCCCTATGTTGATTACAGCATTATTTACAATAGCCAAGATTTGGAAGCAACCTAAGTGCCCATCAGTAGATGAGTGGATAAAAAAGCCATGGTATACTTACATAATGGAGTACTACTCAGCTATAAAAAAGAAAGGGATCTTACTTTTTGCAACAGCATGGATGGGCCTGTGGAGTATTGTGCTAAGTGAAATAAGCATAAGTGATTTTACTTGTTAAGTGGAATCAAATGAACAAAATAAACTAACAAACAAAATAGAAAGAGTGCCTAGATTTAAATGCCAGTTCTGCCGCTTACACTTTTTGGAAAAGTTTTTTTAAGTCCGTGTGTCTCAGTTTTCTTATAGGCAAAACAGTGGTATCCATTTCATAAGGCACAGGGGCTGACCAACACATAAACTGCTCAATTAGTATACATGGATGCAAATAGTTATCACCTAGTGAGGTAAGATGCCATGATTACTTTATGTGGTAGGCCAGAGAAGGGACATGTTCACATAGCCTGTAGGGTCAAAGGTTTCTCTGGTGCACACTGGCTTAGATTAATTAAGGTAGGAAGTGATACCGTTACTTTATAAAGATTCTCTCTAGAAATGAATAGATGGTTTAGATTGGGCAAAAATACATAATTTTTTAAAAGTAAACAACCAAGTGCAGGTCGTTCTGCACTGTGGAGCTGATAGGAATCTAGATACACTGACAAAACAGCATAAATTAAACAGATGTATTCATGTCCTTTGTACCCTAAAACATGATTCACCAAATACCATGGCAACCCATTTTCCAGATGGAAAGAAGGCTGATGCTATTATACTGATAGTGTGAATTATGGCAAAAATATTACTTGAATGCTTACTATTTTCTAAACCCTATGCTGAGTGCTTTGAGTCTATTAAAGAATAAGAAAGACATAGTCTCATCTTTCATGGAATTTACATAGTAATGTAGGAGAGAGGCATTGGATACATAATTTATTGTTTGCATTAAATCAATAATCACAACTCTGCAGGTGCTAGAAAAGACCAATGGAGAATATAGTGTAAATATTTATTAGGCTAAGAGGTTATGGGAATCTTAAATAGGGCAGTTTAAGCTAAGAGCTAGCTAATGGATAAGATGCTAGCCAGGAGAAGGGAAGATAAATGGGGAAAAGCTTCCAAGACATGGGAAGTAGATTTGCCAAGGCCACGAGGAAGGAGTAAGCCTTGCATAGTCAAGGAACTGAAAGATGATTATGGTTCCAATAGAAAAAAACAAAAAACAAAGGGGAAATGGCTCAAGATAAAATTTGAAAGGAAGGCAGTGTCATAGCACAGGCCCATATAAAAGTTAGAACTTTATCATACTGGTAATGGAAATGATATGATGTAATTTGGAGTATTTTTGTAATCTGGAAAGTGAATTGAAAGATATGACAGAAACTGCTTTTCTTTCAAACTTGCTGTGAGAGTCAGAGGACCTGGGATTCAATCCAGCTCTGGTTTTCACCTACTGAATGGATTATTTCTGGGCATCATATCCTCCTCTGTAAAATGAAGAACAACCCAGTTCTAACTCTTAGTTTCTTTAAAACCTCACAATTTCAAAGAAATGTCAGGTCACAGAGGAGCCATCCACCCCTAATTTTTGTATTCCCTCTTGCCCCAGCCATCTCTGAGCCATGGGATATACTGGGCTCAGGGGACTCTTGAGAGGCAGTTTTATAGCTCAGGGCATGGAGGGGGTGGAGGTTGCCAGGGAGGTTGGGTGCAGTGTCAGAGCTCTTAGTGTTTCTTTTCTAGCAGACACTTCACCTGCCTCTCTCCTCCCATCTACCAGAGCTGCCCTGCAGAGGTAAATGGGGATTTTAGCTCTTCCCTCACGGAGGTCTGTAGAAATCTCATTCATAGCTTCAAAGTTCTGAGTGATTAAGGTACAAATATTTGAAGAAGCTCATAATACCTTCTTTCTAAAATAATTTATTTGTGTAATCAGTATTTATTGATTAGAACTAGAACTGGTAATTCCTGAGTCCTATTCCAGGGCTCTATGCACAGTGACATGGATAAGCATTGAGGATAAAATAAGAAGGAAAACAGACAATTATGGGAATTTATAATTTATTGTGGGAGAAAGATACTAATTAAATAACCAAACATATATAATAATCTATTGTAATTCTAAAGTGTCATAAAATTCATGAATAAAAATATTTCTGAGGACATACAACAGGGACATATGACCATGAGCAGAGGTATAATGGATGATTAGAATAATTGGAAGGTAAGTTTTCAGGTAGTGTTAATGCTGCTGTATGCCATAGTAAAGATGCTTGAATTCTATTTGAATTTTATTTCAGAAGGAAAGAGAAGCCATTGGAAGATTTTTCAGTAGGAGTATAACATCTTTTTACTTATATTATAAACAAATAATTTGACTGTTTTGTGAATAATGCATTAGAGAGGGGCATGACATTAAGTTGGTCAATCACCAAGGAAGGTCTTGAGGAAATCCTGGTAAAAGATGCTTAGTGATAAATTACAGTTGGAAATGAAATAGAGAGAAAAGCAGTGTTAAGTATATTTTCAAAAGGTGGTAATAGAGTAATTATATCTGGGCATGAGAGAAAATGAGGTTTTTCTGGCTTGGTGATGGATTTTTATAAGATGCTATATATTTGAGAGGATTAAGTATGGTGATAACTAAAAAGTTCAACTTTGAATTTGTTGTGTAGAGATGCTGATGAGCTATTTAAGTCGATATGGATGCTGAGTCTAGAGCTAGAAGAGAAGTCTGAGCTAGAGACATACATTTGGGATCATTGCCACACAGAGAAGAGATTAAAAGGACATTATGAGTGGAAAGTATTTTTGAAGATATTAGTTATAAAGAGAGCAGAGAAATGAGTGATTACTAGAAGAACATGTGAGGGCAATAAGAGGCTTTTTGTTATTCCTTGTTTTCTATGATAGTAAATCCTGAAATTAATTCTCAATAAAGAAATTGCTGTGAGGTAGGACATATGTGAAGCTCTTAGAAATTATCTAAACCTCTAGTTTTCAAATTTTCCTGCCTATTGGAATCACTTGAGAAGTTAAAAAAAAATACTGATTCTTGAGTTCCACTGCTAGAGTTTCTGGTTTAACTGGTACGAGCAAGGCTCCAGCAAAAAAACAAACAAACAGAAAAAAACATGACTATATATATTTTAAACTTCCTCAAGTGATTCCAACATGCAGCACAATTTGAGAATATTTAATCTAAACAGAGCAAATTGATGTAAACATGTCAGAGAGAATAACCATGAGCAATCAGAAGTGAAGGAGCATGAGGTTCTGGACCCTTGGTGAATAAGTGAAGGTCTCAGGCAACAAAGAGAGGATGAGGAGTGATGCTTTAGTGCAAGCAAGAGAGGAGACTCAGCTCAGAATATAGACAAAAATGTTCTCACCTGTTCCAGAGGAAATGCATTAGTAAGTAGAGAGTATTAAAGAAAGAACTTCATGGAGGACTCATGGTATCTTGCTTCATTTTTTTGTTTTGTTAATCCTCACCTAAGCCTATTTTTTCCATTGATTTTTTTTAGAGAGAATGGAAGGGAGGGACGGAGAGAAGCATCAATGTGAGAGAGGCACCTTAATTGGTTGCCACCCCCACACACCCTGACTGGAGTCTGCAACTGAGGTACATGCCCTTGACTGGAATCAAACCCACGACCCTTAAGTCTGAGGGCCAACACTCTAACCACTGAGCAAACCAGTTAGGGCTGTATCTTGCTTCTTGAAGAATATGGTGGATAACACTTGGTAGAGAAAAAGGACAAAAACAATTTCTAACACTGGAAAAGATTTGAGTCGTTCTATACAAAAGGCAGAGAAAGAAGAGTAAGAGATAATGTCCAAAAGAAAAAAAAGTCAAAGGATTTTTGTGAGGAAGGAATTGGAGTCCATGACCCATTTGTGGATATGATCAGACTGCGGAATGTCTGAGCTAGAGCCATTGACCCCTAATCTAATTCTTTCTTACCCTTTCATGATCTTTGGTATCAAATATAAATGTCATTGTCCCTTCCATCTTGAGAACAGTGACCACTCTTGGTCTTAACATCCTTCACTGTCTGACCTCACTTCACTCTGGTTGTATTTCCTTAAAAGCTACTCATGGACCTCATGAAAAGTTTTGGGACTAACATCTCAAGCATTACCAGCTTCACACTAACAGCCTTCCCAGAGATGGAGGGCCTGGAGCACTGGTTAACTGCCTGCATCTTGCTGCTTTATGCTATCTCTGTCCTGGGCAACATTCTAATTCTCTTCATCATAAAGGAGGAGCAGAGCTTGCACCAGCCAATGTACTACTTCCTGTCTCTGTTATCTGTCAATGACTTGGGTGTGTCCTTTTCTACATTGCCCACTGTACTGGCTGTCTTGTGCTTCCATGCCCCAGAGATTGCCTTTGATGCCTGCCTGACCCAGATGTTCTTCATCCACTTTTTTTCCTGGACAGAGTCTGGGATCCTGCTGGCTATGAGTTTTGACCGGTATGTGGCCATCTGTAACCCCTTGCGTTATTCATCGGTGCTCACTGATATCCGTGTGGTTCACATGGGCCTATCCATCATCATCCGCAGCTTCTGCATGGTCTTCCCACTGCCTTTTCTTCTGAGGAGGCTGCCGTTCTGTGAGGCCAACATGCTGACCCATTCCTACTGCTTGCACCCAGACCTCATCCGCTTGCCTTGTGGAGATACCACCATCAATAGCATGTATGGCCTGTTCATTGTCATCTCTGCCTTTGGTGTAGACTCAGTGCTCATTGTTCTCTCCTACGTTCTCATACTGCACTCTGTGTTGGCCATTGCCTCCGGGAAGAAAGGCTTAAGACACTCAACACTTGTGTGTCACACATCTGTGCTGTGCTTATCTTTTATGTGCCCATGGTTAGTGTGTCCATGATTCACCGATTTGGGAAACACTCCTCTGAGCTTGTGCACAAGTTCATGTCCCTGGTTTATCTCTTTGTGCCTCCAATGCTCAACCCAATTATTTATTCCATTAAGACTAAGGAGATTCGTAAGAGGTTACGTAAAATGTTATTGGGATCTAAGCTGTGATCAGGAAGAAAGCTTCTGGAAATTCATGTACACTATGTTTTTTGGTTTTTTTTTTGTTTTATTATTGCTGTGTGTGTGTGGGTGTGTGTGTGTGTGTGTGTGTGTGTGTGTGTATACTCTGCTATTCTTTTGGAGGATTTCTATCTCCTGCTATGCATGGACCTGTGATTGGGTACCTGCCATTAGTTGTATGGTATAGTCTGGCTAAAACCCATAACTCAAAATATCAGCTGTCTTACATTGTAATGAAATGTCTCAGGTTGCCAATTTTTTTAGTCAAATACATTTCAAAAACTAATGCATACATATCAACCATAGAATGGCTGGGCATTATTATGTTATTTGAGATCATAGGTATTACCCAATACTTTTTAAAGTAATAATATTTTTAGTAACTTTTAAACTTTAAAAATTAAAGACATATGATAGCTATGACTAACTTTACACTTTTGAAATAAGAGCATTCAAGAGTCCTATAAAATGAAACTTATGTCTTTGTCATATTGATTATGAATTACCTGAAATTAATAAGCTTAAAACTGGAAGAAAAGTTTTGTGAAAAAAAATCATATGTTTCCATCCCTCAGGCATGACTAGGGGGAAGATTACATTTCTTCTAGGGAGCTAGTAGACATTCCAAAAGGAAGGCTAATAAATACTACTTACTGATGGCAAGGTGTGTCTGCTCAAGAGGCATTGGGGGTTTGACCCATGATTTGCTGGAATATAGACTTTCATGGCCTTTAGTGAATCTAAGCCCGGAGTCTTCAGCATAAACTAGAGCAGAGGAGAGGTGGCTGAAGGATATCAGGAAATTCACAAAATATAATCTCTGGAGAGCAAGTCATAAAGAAAGAGGAATCCTCTGATAATTCATGCAAAGCAGACACAACACAGACCATTCAGGCATGTAGACACTTGAAAGGGTAAGCACATGATGTGGGGACTTTCCCTGGGCAGTGACAGGCCATGATAATTCAACTTCATTGGATGATTGGGGAAAGCAGACACTGGGATAAAAGTTATCTTTTTTTTTTTTAATAAACATTTCTTTCCATGTTTTTTTTTCCCCTCATAGTATCATAAAATAACTTTTCTAAAATAAAGACATAGGAATTGAGTGACATGATGATGCCCTAAACATAGCAGAAATATAACTATGAATCTCCTCTAAATACCTCATGAATGCCAAATTAACCACAACAACAACAAAAACACACACAAAAAAACAGACTAGAAACCTAGAGATAACATATCCAACAATCTATATATATAAAAGCCAAGTGACCAGAACGACTGGAATGACCAGTGGCTATGACATGCACTGCAGTGGCCAACCGGCCTGATCAGGGCCCCAATTGCCTCCCCCAACCTCCCACATCCCCTCCTACCCACCGGCCTCGCTTCCAATTGGCTTCCCACCCTGATCAGGGTTGGAGCCAGCGGCCAACCTCCCTTGGCCCCTCCCCCCGGCCTGACAAGCCCAGATCGGCCCCCATCAGGGCAGGCTGACCAGACCCCACTCGTGCATGAATTCATTCACCAGGTCTCTAGTATCACATAATAGGAACACCTTAAGTATTCTTGAAGAAGGTAGGTATAGTCAAGATTAGAAATTATGTTGTGGGATGCAGTGTAGTCAAGGTAATAACAAAACTTACTTCTACAGCAAATTTAAACTAAAACAACAACAAATCACAACCCTCACCTCCAATAGGAAAGGACTAAACAGAAAGTTGGGCAGTTGGCTTTGAAATTGACTAGTGAAATGGGGAACAGTATTTACCAGGTCCAAGTCCTGTTGCACTTGAGTGAATCAAGCAATGCAGCTGTGGTCATAAGCACTTGAGAACCTCATAAATGTTCAGCACAGAAGCTTTTCTGAAAAGCTGTCACCTCAGCCTGAAGGAAATCACATGAAACATAAATATCTCTTGAGTAAGATGGAAAGAAGGTTCTGATGACAGGTGGAAAGTCTATAGAGGAAGAAGATGCAAGAAAATGTGGCTTCAGCTACATAAACTTCTCAAGCTGCTTGTATTGCTTGGAAGAAAGGCCTGTAGAGCTCTAGGGCTAGAACAGAAGGAGGGAGCCAAGCATCCTCTACAAACAGACTTAGCTCTGAGACACAGAAGTGGCCTCGAGGAGAAGGGCTACTTTGCATATTCGCACAACAGCTGAGGGAGCCCTAAAGCCGAGGAGCTGGAAAAGTTACCCTGCCGTCCCCTCTCAGTCCAGAGAATCCTCTCCCCAGTCACCTTGGAAAACGATCCTTGCTTAAATATGGGGACAAAAATCGGATGTAAACTAACTCTGTACACAGTTCTGAACAAACATAAATGAAAAAAATCAAGGACAAAAATGGACCCACAGCCCTTAAGAGTCGTGCTTACTATGTGAATCTTCCTTCTTTAAGAAAAGATCTTTTTATATCCTCATGCTTCAGTTTCTATGCCTGAATATTAGAAACCACATAGCTGACTTCAGTATTTTTTAGGTTTATTTTTTAAAAAATACATCTCAATCTCAATAACAGAATTGAGGAGTCACAGAATAAAGCATGAGGATGGGAAGAGTGAGTACCAGAGTGACACGGTAAGTACTTCTGTCAGCATTTTGTGCAGTGCTCCCTTATTGATTCATGTAGCAAACATACATGGGATGACGAACATGGGCCCAGCTCTGTGCTGAGCACTGGGGATGTGGAGATAGATTGAGCCTGGCTCCTGATAACAAAGGGCATGTGACTTTGGGAGATTTTCTTTGTGTGTCTCACCAGTTGAATACAAATGTGTGAGCTTAGCTCTGAATAAATAAGGAATCACTGCACAAAACTGTGATAAAAATTTATTTCAGTGTTAACAGAGGACTCACCCTCCAGTTGGTAGTTGGAAAAAGACTGCTGGGGTGTGTGTGTGTGCCCCCCCACCCCCAGTACGTATAACCTGTTTATATGGAATATACATTATAGAGATATACTAGTATGTTGATCAGACAGAAAATTATAAGCTGTTATTTTCTTAATATGAAAAAAATCCATTATACATGTGTATGTATATATACAAGTATATTTTATTATTGACTAATAAATATTGACAATTTAAAGAAAATTGACAGACAGAAATAAAGTTTTTTTAAAGATAAATTGTATTTGTTCAAACTGGTCAAATAGTATTCAAGTAGTATACTGACATTTAAGTAAATGATAAATTATAAACCTGTTTATAATATTTTTGTGTGAACTGAAGGCAAAGGGGGCTCTTTAAGAAATTACATTGAATATAAATCAGGATGGATTTAAAAATAGTACCCAATTGTGCAATGTATACCTGACTTGTGTCTTATAAATCTCTTTTCCCCTAATAACCCTGAACTTATTTTTCTACTTCATCTGTAAACATGTTCTTGTAGATATTTGGATTCTAAATGTTGTGTGATATTTCCTATTGAATGTAACATCAGTCTCCATTCCTAAGCTGAGTAATTGACATAGAAAATATTTCCAGTCTAGTGTTTCTAATTATATAAGGTTTGGATCTGTTTAAAGAGTTTCTTTATTTGAATTTCAGATTTATTTTACTTGCCTCTTTTACGCTTAGACAAGGATTTGTTTATTAAATTGGTGACTCAGATTTTTTGTATTAATGTTATACAAAAGATTTGTTTCATAATGTCATGTCAAATACAGAAAAAGCCACTTATCATCTATCAGTTCTAAACTGTTTAAGATTTACAGAATAATTTGTCTCTGTCACTATTGAAACTAATAATTAAAGTTGACTCTGATCCATGGTTGTTTAGAGTTTGTCTTTCATTGTAAAAATGCAGATTGCCATGCAGGAAGCTCATTTCTCCTAGCCCAGTAATATGGGAGGTTTACCTTAAATCTGTAGCCTTTAAATAGTTCACATGGATGGGTACTCCATTTCCAGCAGTAACACTCCTCCATACAGATCACCCACTCAAAACACAGTGCAGCTTTGCAAGAGGTACTGAAAAGAAATATGGACCTATTGAACACATCTCAGGAGCCTTTGATATACCCCTGCCATCTGTCTTCAGATAGCTTTCTCTCATACAACCTAGTGACTATACTCCATAATCACTGAGCCCTCAGACCTAATACCATGCTTGCCACCTTTTAGGTTTCAATAAATATTGAGTGAATAAATAAATAAGTAAATAAATGAGCTGTTATGTTTATTATAAGCAAACAAAGAAGCTTGTAAGAAAAATAGTTTTCCACCAAAACTGTATCTTTTCCCCTCCAAAATTCTCCACATTTTTTTTTAGACCTGGGGTTGAGACAAGGACAGTAACTACATATCTCTGCTAGGAGGGATGAAGGCTGAAAAACAGTTTGGAGACAAATGTTCTAAGCAAAATGGCTGGCAGTAAATGATGTAACATCAAGATTGTCTAATAACTAATTCTGGTGTGTTTTTTGCATTTATATTAGCTGAGATCTCTTTGTCATCTAAACGTTTAATAAAGCCTGTCACACACCAGTGCTTTAGGAAAGTGAAACATAACCAGAAATTTATAAAAGTTTTGAAAGGGGATTATATTTTCCATTTGAAGAGTATTGGAAGTTCATGCAATTTTCAGTGAAATATCAAATATTTAGCTGGTACCAACTGACCTCTGAGTTACACATGTGCAAAAAAACTAATAAAATAATTAATGGTAATTTATATCTTGTATGTATTTAATATAGTTGATAAACAGGTTTTTCATGGATAATAGAAGAAAAAAACAATTTATAAATATGAACACAAATCACATGCACCCACTCCTACTTTGACAAATCCATGAACACCCTAACTCAGAAGATAGACCCTCTGTGCCCTGCTCCTATTTATTTTTTCAAAAACAGTTTCTGGGTGAAGTGCACATCTTGTCGCACTGAATTGTACCTGCAGCAGCATAGTGGCCTTGTCTGAGCAGATCTGATCAGGTCTGGAGATGGCTTCATGAGGCAGGACCGGTACTCAGAAAGT